TATTTATTTATTTATTTATTTTTATTTATTTATTTATTTAATTTATCTATTTATTTGTTTATTTATATATATATATATATAACTGTTGTTGATATTATTGTAGTTGTTATGATTCTTATTACTCTTGCCTCTTTCATTGCTTCGGAGCCAGGGTCTCCTGGGTCTAGAATGTCGAATTTTCGCAGTGCGGCTGCAGGTTCGTCACCATCTGGGGGTACCCCTAGGCCCGAAAGTAGTTCCTTTTGGGGGTTCATATATAGAATCCTATAAGGTAGCCCCAAAAAGGAACTACTATGGGGCCTATGGGTATGTGCCTTCGAAGCTAAAGGATAAGCTAAACAAGCTTTCGCACAACGCATGCTCCATAAAGGCACGGTTGCACCCAAACCCTAAATTCTGAAACCCTCCCTCGGCCGCCAAACCCTAAATCCTCAAACCCAGAACACCCCACAACCCCAAGCCCCAAAACCCTGTTTAAGACTGCCCCATTGACATCCGACTTGCCTGCCTCGCCGGCGAAGTCCCACAGTGCTTCGGCAGAAAGACCTCCTTGGGCACGGTATGGAATCTCAAGCAACCACCTCGGTTTGAGGTAACCGGGCTCAACGGTTAGGGAGGTTGAGGGTGATTGGGGCATAATGTCCAGAGCAAACCACCTCAGTTGGGCTCATTGGTTAGGCTCTGCAGGGAGCGAGTCTCTTTGTTGAAGGCCCGGGGGCGTGCAGTTTAGGGTTTCGGGCGGAAGGATTTGGGCTCTTCTAAGGGTTTAGGGTTTAGGGTTTAGGCTTTCTTCTGGAGGCCCTTGACCACGAGACTTCAGCGAACAGCAACAAAAGGCCTCTGAAACCCTCTCAAAGCATCACGGAAGAACCTCTAAAGTCCTAGACCCAAGACCGAAAACGTCAAGACACTACAGAACCCTTCAGAGCCTGAGAGACCACTACAAGGAAATTTCTAAGCCTTAAGCCTAAAACCCTGGACCCGGAAACCGAAAGCCCCAAAACACAAAAAAGCCTCTCAGAGACCCCACACACCTCGCCTTACCGAGCCCCTTAGCTCGATGGCAAAGGGCACACAGACACCGGTGAGAGCCTCGGTGGGCCCGAAAGCTCCGGGGCGGGGAGGGAGAGAGGGTTTAGGGTTTAGGGTTTAGGGTTTGGGGTTTGGGGTTTGGGGTTTATACAAATTGTTTAGGGTTCAGGTCCTGAGTTTTGTGCGGGTTTTGTGCGGGTTTTGTGCGGTTTTGTGCGGGTTTTGCCTTTTGCTTTTGCTCAATTTTGCTTCCTAAACGGCCTATTTTGCGGATTCCTGAAAACCCAAAATTGCTAATTTTCGTGATGCCTACGCTTGGGCTGGCTCGTGGGGCTGGGTTGGCTGGGTTGTCCACGCACCGCGGAAACTCATTTGTTTCTGCAA